GTTGATATGGGTCTCGGAAGTGGGCGTGGCAAAATGACTCGACAGCGCCACCTAGAAAAATTAAACGGACGAGCCCCCGATCCACGAATCACACACATGCACGAAAATTGGCACACACCTCAAACACGCCAAAACATACGAAAAAGTCTCTTGGAGCCATATCTCAAACCCAACAGGAAGTCGGATATTTTTGACTTCCTGCGGCGAAAAAGTGGCGTTTTTGCCATTTCCAAGCGTTGTATTTTAACGAACTCCTCCTAGGGATTTTATCCGATCGTCACCAAAATTGGGTTTTGTCATCTAAAGGCCTTGGCGATGTTAAATTGCGAAGCTTTAGAGTTTTCGTCGATGGGCGTGTCCGTGGCGGCCTCGCAAACTTTGATGATTCGCCAAAAACAGGAAGTCGTTATAACTCAGGCATGCATTATCCGATTTGCCTCAAAAATCACACGTTTGATAAGAGTCCTGACCTGAACACGTGTACATGCCGATATCCAGATACAGTTATAGCGCCACCTGCTGGCTACAGGAAATTACATGTTTTACATCGTAACAAACTCCTCCCACAAATTTTTTCGTATCCGCACCAAATTTGAGTGGTGTTATCTGAAAGCTCTAGCGATGTTATATTGTGAAGATCTAGAGTTTTTGCAGAGGGGCGTGTCCGTGGCGGCATGACAAACCTCAACGCTTCGCCATGGAACAGGAAGTCCTTATAACTCAACCACACAATGTCCGATCTGCCTGAAACTTCACATGGTTGATAAACGTCATCTCCTGAACACATCCTCATAACAATAATGAAATGGGCGTGGCAAAATGACTCGACAGCGCCACCTATAAAAATTAAACGGACGAGCCCCTGATCTACGAATCACGCACATGCACGAAAATTGGCACACACCTCAAACATGCCAAAACATACGAAAAAGTCTCTTGGAGGCATATCTCAAACCCAACAGGAAGTCGGATATTTTTAACTTCCTGCGGCAAATAAGTGGCATTTTTGCCATTTCCAGGCTTTGTATCTTAACGAACTCCTCCTAGGGATTTTATCCTATCGACACCACAATTGGGTTTTGTCATCTAAAGGCCTTGGCGATGTTAAATTGCGAAGCTTTAGAGGTTTTGTCGATGGGTGTGTCCGTGGCGGCCTCGCAAACTTTGACGATTCGCCACAAAACCGGACGTGATTATAACTCAGGCATGCATTATCCGATCTGCCTCAAAATTCACATGTTTAATATAAGTCCAGACCAGAACACGTTTACATGCCGATATCCAGATACAGTTATAGCGCCACCTGCTGGCCACGGGAAATGTCATGATTTACAGAGTAATAAACTCCTCCCACAAATTTTTTTGTATCAGCACCAAATTTGGGTTGTGTTATCTGAAAGCTCAAGCGATGATATAATGTGAAGATCTAGAGTTTTTGCAGAGGGGCGTGTCCGTGGCGGCATGACAAACCTCAACGCTTCGCCGTGGAACAGGAAGTCCTTATATCTCAACCACACAAAGTCAGATCAGCCTGAAACTTCACATGGCTCATAAAAGTCCTCTTCTGAACACATCCCCAAAACAATAATGAGTCAGTCATTGCGCCACCTGCTGGCAGAAGGTAGATAGGCTTATAACTCAGCCAAACAACATCCGATCTGCCTGAAACTTCACATGGTTGATTAAATTCCATTACTGAAGGCATCTACATGCCAATCTTAAGTCACAGTTATAGCGCCACCTGCTGGCAGATGGTAGTTTGCATTATAACTCAACCACACAAAGTCCGATCTGCCTGAAAGTTCACATGGTTGATAAAAGTCCTCTCCTGAACACATCTACATAACAACATTGAGTCTGTCGTAGCGCCACCTGCTGACAAAAGGCAGTTTGGCTTATAACTCAGCCAAACAATGTTCGATCTGCCTGAAACTTCACATGGTTGATAAGATTCCTCTCCTGGTGACATCTACATGCCAATCTTGAGTCACAGTCATAGCGCCACCTGCTGAGAGAAGGAGGTTTGGCATAAATCGGTGATTTTCTCAGATTTTTTAAATATATCGGCTTAAATTATTACTTTTTGCTGTTCTCTGTCATCCTGAGGCCACCGGGCGGCGGTGAGCCCGGGTGCGAGGTCCCTATCATCGCTGCTTGCAGCTTTAATTATTATTATTATTATTCTTTTCCGGAATGAATCGCGATTTTGAGGGGCTAAACATGCCCGAAAACTCACGGAACTTTGCACATGCCTCAGAAGTGGCGAAAATTTACGTTTATTATGGGTCTCGGAAGTGGGTGTGGCAAAATGACTCGACAGCGCCACCTAGAAAAATTAAACGGACGAGCCCCCGATCTACGAATCACGCACATGCACGAAAATTGGCACACACCTCAAACATCCCAAAACATGCGAAAAAGTCTCTTGGAGCCATATCTCAAACCCAACAGGAAGTCGGATATTTTTGACTTTCTGCGGCGAAAAAGTGGCGTTTTTGCCATTTCCAGGCGTTGTATTTTAACGAACTCCTCCTAGGGATTTTATCCGATCGACACCAAAATTGGCTTTTGTCATCTAAAGGCCTTGGCGATGTTAAATTGCGAAGCTTTAGAGTTTTCGTCGATGGGCGTGTCCGTGGCGGCCTCGCAAACTTTGACGATTCGCCACAAAACAGGAAGTCATTATAACTCAGGCATGCATTATCCGATCTGCCTCAAAATTCACACGATTGATAAGAGTCCTGACCTGAACACGTTTACATGCCGATATCCAGATACAGTTATAGCGTCACCTGCTGGCCACAGGAAATTACATGTTTTACAGAGTAACAAACTCCTCCCACAAATTTTATCGTATCAGCACCAAAATTGGGTAGTGTTATCTAAAAGCTGTAGCGATGATATATTGTGAAGATCTAGAGTTTTCGGAGAGGGGCGTGTCCGTGGCGGCATGACAAACCTCAACGCTTCGCCATTGACGAGGAAGGCTTTATAACTCAACCACACAATGTCCGATCTGCCTGAAACTTCACATGGTTGATAAACGTCATCTCTTGAACACATCCACTCGACAATATTGAAGTGGGCGTGGCAAAATGACTCAACAGCGCCACCTACCAAAATTAATCGGACGAGCCCCTGATATACGAATCACGCACATGCACCAAAATTGGCACACACCTCAAACATGCCAAAACATAGGAAAAAGTCTCTTGGAGCCATATCTCAAACTCAACAGGAAGTCGAATATTTTTAACTTCCTGCTGTAAAAAAAGTGGCGTTTTTGCCATTTCCAGGCGCAGTATTTTAACGAACTCCTGCCACAAATTTTATCGTATCAGCACCAAAATTGGGTTTTGTCATCTAAAGGCCTTGGCGATGTTAAATTGCGAAGCTTTAGAGTTTTCGGAGAGGGGCGTGTCCGTGGCGGCATGACAACCCTCAACGCTTCGCCATTGAACAGGAAGTCCTTATAACTCAACCACACAATGTCCGATCTGCCTGAAACTTCACATGGTTGATTAAATTCCATTACTGAAGGCATCTACATGCCAATCTTAAGTCA